AGAGAGAGAGAGAGAGAGAGAGAGAGAGAGAGAGAGAGAGAGAGATAATAATAATTCAGCATTCTGCCAACAGCGTCCGTCTGCGTTTTCGCATCCATGTTTTTACACGCTGTGACGTCACACTCCGTATACAGACACGGACGCGGGATGCAGGGATGCTAAGCAGATGCGGAGGATACACGCCGCCGCTTCTAGAAGAGAATAGCTGTAATCCATAGTTACGTACACAACAGTGCGTTAATACATATTATAGGCAGCAGGCATGAATGAACATGGCACAACAATTAATTAAAAATACTCGGAGAGTATTACCGTGATTCGGTGCACACACAACACACGCTTTATTCGTGCTTAATGACCACAGATTCAAGGTCCAGGCTACACTCGAAACTATTGCTAGGTGGATGATGCTCATCTCCAGCAAGTATTCGACTCCCGTTTCACATTCGATTCCCGTCTAAAATCGCTGCGCACTAACCGAGTGCTGCAAAGTCGACAATTTGACTAAATACACACGCGACGGTTAAATTAGTCAAACTTCACCTATATTTAGCAACAACATCAAATGCGAATAACGGTTACTTCGCTCGGACTAATATGCCAATTGCGTTCAGATACCAACGTTTTTACGTATAGGTGGCGCTGCTGAGAGCTCACGCAGGAGAACACCTTCTGCTGGGCGTCGCCAGAAGGTCGATGCCTATCAAGGACATGCTGTTGCTAGGCAACGACTACATCATCCCGCGCAATGGCACCGACAGCGACATCAGCCAGGTGGCGCTGCGTGTGCTAGACGAGCTAGTGCAGCCTTTGCGAGAGATTCAGCTGGATGATAAGGAGTTTGCCTGTCTCAAGGCCATCGTCTTCTTCGATCCAGGTGAGGGCGCTGTCGTCGCTGGTATATCACGCGCGGTCTCGCGCGTTTGACGATGTAACAAATGGATGTACACTGTATGTAATGTATGTGAGTACACACGTATGAATGCAAGTACGCATGTATGAATGTATGTACACATGTAACAAATATCTGTACACTGTATGTAATGTATGCGAGTACACACGTATGAATGCAAGTACGCATGTATGAATGTATGTACACTGTATGTAATGTATGTGAGTACACACGTATGAATGCAAGTACGCATGTGTGAATGTATGTACACATGTAGTAACAAATCAAATGTAAGGAGATGCGTGTGAAGAGGACCGGCAGTTATCAGCTTAATACTTGTGACAAATTTGATGTAAGGAAGTGCGAGTGATGCAGATCAACTGCATTACCCCCCACGTGGGTTCGAACAGACATTAAATGAAAGCTATCGAGCTATAAAGTCAGCGCTGAAATTAATTGTAAGATAAAATTAATTGTAAGAAGATATTAATTGTAAGAGTTGACAACTTACTGTGCAAATGAGCACGAATGTGTTCTATCAACATGTTCTGCTTGCCTATACGCATATACGCTCTCCTATGACACTATTTGTCATAGGAAGATTCTTCCTATGACAAACATTGGCGAGTCAACTTCGTTCCGATTTACAGCTGAAATTTACTCTCTCTCTCTCTTTCTCTTTCTTTCTTTATCTCTCCCTCTCTCTTCCCCTCTCTCTCACTCTCTCTCCCATTCTTTCTCTCTCGCTCTTCCTCTCTCTCCCCCTCTCTCTCCCCTTCTCTCTCCCCTCTCCCTCTCTCTCTCTTTCTCGTTACTACCACGGTTATTTTTTTCTATTTTTGTCTTTAACTCCTGTTTTCCTATTTTCTCTCCGCGTAGATTCGAAGGGACTCAGCGACCCGCAGCGGATCAAGACCATTCGATATCAGATACAGATACACCTCGAAGACTACATCAACGATCGTCAGTACGAGTGCCGCGGACGCTTCGGCGAGCTGCTCCTGCTGCTGCCGACCCTGCAGAGCATCACGTGGCAGATGATCGAACAAATACAAGTGAGTTCCGGGCGGCTGGCGCCACCTATTGGTCGACTCCGATAATAAATTCGCACAATGTCATATTCGGGGGCCATGGATTTTCGGGCCGTCCCGAGTTTTCGCTACAGCCATCGCAGATAACGAGCGTGATTTAATAATAATGAATAATAATAAATTGAGAAATATACACCGGGTAGCTATAATTGCATACTATTTATGTATTATGATATTAAATAATCAACAAATTTATAAATTAATGAATTTTATTAGCCTGAATATAATGTGAACATGACCATACTGGACTGCAGTCACCGACTAAAACTGATAGAGCATCGCGCTTATTCTGGGAAGTGTGTGGGATGCAGTAACATGACATACGCTTTCTCATACACTCGCATAATTAGATAGTCGACACTTCGCAGATCGTATTGAAGGGAGTGTAACTAACTTTACAGTTTGTCAAGTTTTTCGGGGTGACAAAGATCGACAACCTCCTACAGGAGATGCTGCTTGGAGGAATGCCGGGCCACCACCATTTTGCCTACCACTACCAGAACCACGGTGCAATACCAGGTAGACATGGACGCTGCTGCAACATTTACATACAAATAACCTATACATATAAACAATAGCTAATAATACATTATGTATGCACATATGTATATATATACATAATATATATATAATATATATATATATAATATATATAGTATATATATATATGTATATACGTAACCTGTTTAAATCCGTCACTATATATATATATATATATATATATATTATACTATACTTAAATTAAATAGTTCATTACTAATTTCCAGGCTAAAACTACAACGTCTACAATACATACAATACAAGCAGATGTGTTTAATTCTCTTAAGAATGTGCTGACGATACAGATACGATCTAAGCAGATGTGTAAACCCTTCACAATATTTACTTACTGCTGTCCGCGCGTTCTGAAACAGAACCGTGACGTCATCGTGTTATCGCCATCACGCACCGTGCGCGCTTCACTTGTTGCTGACTCACTCGGCAATCCTCGGCAATCCTCGTATGAATCCGCTGCTCTCCTTCATTCCCTCGGCCGTATCACGTGAATCTGTCATGCGCCTACGGCAATATATTTTTGATCCGCCCCCCCCCCCGCATTTCCTCTGGGAACCTATAATTCTAATTTATCTTACCTTGCTTTTTTAACAGTGAAATCTATTGACAGAATCATTGCGCAAATTTGACCGCACATAATTTTGTTATTCATAATTTTTATCGGCGTTTTCTTCCAGAATAGTCATCTTACATAAGGTTATGCGGTTAAAGCGGTATCAATCAGATTAGCTCCGATTATTCCGACGAAGTAACTTGGATGAACACATTCAGTTGTGCCGAGCGGTCGCGACAAGACACGGGACGATTATTTCTGCTCCACGCCACAGGCGCCGCCACCAGTCACCCAGCTACGATTTCGATAGCTTTAATTCGACTTCTTTTGAATGAGTCAAAATTTTAATTGTTTAATCACTTTATTTACACTTTCTCAGGTCCCCCGACGATGGAACAGGAAGTAACGCAAAACAATACGCAGCCGGTATCATTACAGGTATCGTCTTATAGCTTTTTAGCAGTAATGGGAAATGTGTAGGTGAAGTCATTCGTGTATAGATATAAGTCTGCAAATCAAACTAAAGCTTCTGTGACAGCGAATGATCATATAGGCAAATGAGAGCCCATCTGGATCTTGTACGCGAGCAAAAATACGCGACATCAGCGCGCTTCAGAAATATTTACGTTTGCTGGCATTTCGGATAGTTGCCTGAGCATGAATTATAGCGATATCACACAGAGTCGCAGGTTTATCATTATATTCTGATGCATGCGAGTTTCATGGAGTCATGCATGCAAATGAATAGCGCCTTAGTAGCAGTATTGCTGTCAGCGTCGGTCAACCGGTAGCCGAATCAAAAGGAAGACGGTTTTGAGTGTTTCGTTTTCCGTTTATGATCGCGAACGGCATATAACTCGGCTAACGCTCCATTAGGAGTGTTCCCAACTTTGATATCGTTAATGATTAATGATTAATGATTAATAATCCTAACCCTAACCCTAACCCTAACCTAAATGACATTAAACCACAAACTAATATATGACCAATATATGTATGTATATATATGTTATTTTGACCATTAATGACATTAAAGTTGGGAACACTCCTAATGGAGTATCACCTTATAACTCTCTGATCACGACGTGTAGGTAGGCTGCCATGTCGCCCTTAGCTTACAGGGGTTGCATTTTTACAAATAACCCGTAACGGAGAGAACACGCTGAAAAGCACAGTTTTATCAGCTGTAAAAACTTAGAAGAACCTGACGAAGACTACCACAAGTCGAAACTAGTCGTTCATTTCTAACTTTGTGTAGCATTTTCTCAACGTAACTTTTAATGTAAAATGGCATCATCCAACCAGCAAATCAAATTCACGTGGGGTAACAGAGTGGAGCGGCGCCCCGTAGAGGCTGTTCAGGCCTATTCTTCACGCATGTCCTTTTTACACATAACCGATTCACGTTGTAAGTTATAGAGGACGTGATATATGCTACGCCGGCCAATGCCCATGTGCTGCATCTTGCTACGATTGTCACTGTCTACATACTCTAAAGAGTCCATAATAGAAAATCATGGAAAATATATATAGAGAAAATTTTATAGAAAATATATAGAAAATAGAAAATAATTAATAATTATAATGAATAATTATAGAAAAAAAATATAGAAAATTTTCTGTTATAGACTCTTGATACTGTCTATATATCTGTTACTATACTACAGGTATCGCACTGTCTATTCCTTGCAGGTATATTGCCCACCGGAGCAAATGCCAAACGTTGCAGACGGGTTCGTTCAGGGCAGCCCTCTGAGTCAGCAGTCCGCAATGGGGCAGGTGCCCGTGGCATTGACACAGGTTCACGCTCTGAGAGATTCGACCTCCTCCGGCTGCCAAGGTCAAAGCCTCGGCCAAGATGGCGGCGTGATGCCCAACATTCCGCCACCCGAATACAGGGCGGCCATGGGAAATAAGTCTACAGAACAAAGATTCTGCAAGAAGGAGAACAACAACTACGACAAAGAGGGCATGTAAAGCCACGTTAAAGTAACTCGATGGCCGGAGAACGGGTGGCCTCTGTTTTAGGGGAGCGTGGAGCAGTGAAGACGATGGCATTAGCATGTCATAAGTTATTGGATTAATGATGAAAATCGTAACATGTCAATCTGTGATCAAACGTTTATATATGTGAGAGAGTCTGTCATGGTGCGTGCTCGCGTGCGTGCAGGCGTATGTAACCATCACCTATATGCCTATAGATGCGTTCTATTTTGTGATAGATAAAGTGCATACGTGAGGATTGTCGTGTAGGTGGGTGACGGGGCGATGTGTAACGTAGGCACTCCGTGTTTGTTATAAAATCTCACTGATAAGGAAGGTGCGGAGCGAGATGGCGCTAAATAGTAGCAGTATTATATTTAAGTGCATCGAAGCTGTTATCTCGCAAAAGCAAACGGATAACTTGCGATTTCTGACAAGCATGTCTATTTTAACGCCATAAACAATCAAAGCATATCTTTCTGTTATTGAAATACGTTTTTCGTTCGGTGTAATGGCAAATGTCAAGGCGATGACTGAGCCAGACTGTCCCAGAATCCTTTGTCTACAATATAAAGACTGCGAAACAACGGTTCGAGATAGAATGCATATCAGTCACCTTGACGAAGGACAGACATTCCTATATACTTTATTTAACGCAAAGGCGCAGGCAATGGCCGCTACATACAATGAGTCAGCAATTTTCATATTCATATCCTAATATGTACATGCCCGACTTTCCTAGAAGAATAAATACCAGCTCAGCGTGACACGTAAGAGACACAGTGCGCGCGCACGATCCGTTAAGACAAGAGAACACATTGATTTTATGATAAATACGCGGATTTATCGCTAAATAAATTTACCATTCGCCATGCTATCGTGAAATCCGCGAAGATGTTATCTTGAGATCTGTCGATGTCCTGGCTCGCTGCCTTGTTACTGCCTCGTTGAGTTGCCCGCTAAATGTCAGGTTTGTTTCAGTGCAGACGCTTAGTCAGAGACGAATGTACGAACTCGCGCGCTGATGTGAACGCGGGCTGCTCGTCTGCGCGACACAATTTATTATTATGTGAAAAATATTAATATTAAATATATTTTAATGATATTAATCTGTTAAATATAACGCAAATAAATGTAACGCGATTAAAATATTAATATTAAATATAATTTCATTGATATTAATATATATGTTAAATATAACGTAAAAAAGAGATGTTACGCGATTAGAATATATTATAACGTGATAAAACTAAGGGGCGGTGTCGATACTCGCTCACACTCCCCCCGATGTTCCCGGCGCTTCGCCGGCTGACTCGCGCGTGCTTTACTGTAACGTCAGGGGTGCACGCAGTAATGGTATCGGCAGCTGTGACAGTGTCAAGGATTCCCCGCATCAGCTTCTCCGACCCCACACTCTCTTCACATCGGCCACAGTTACAGGGGCGTTACTTGCTGCTTGCACACTGCTTGGAAATGAGTCGAGCAGGGTGCAGACTGCATTATACGTAAGCTAGGGCGAGGTACCGATAGCCGCGTCAGCTCAAAGCTTGGCTTTTGGTTTGGGATTTTAACGATAGCGGTACCTCGTTGGAATACAAAACGTGTTATGAAGATGAGAGAGTCGCAGAGAGAATTTACGGCCACTGCTTACGAGCAGCCTTTTCTATATAAGTTATTACTTATCTTATTTCGCTCCTATATTATTATATTATATTATATTATATTATATAATTATTGCTCCTTCTAAGCCCAATAATAACCGCTTCTCACAAACTAAAGAAATAACATCTCATCGGAAATGGAAAATGATTTAAAAAAATAATATTACCGTACTTGCTTTAAATCTACTAAAAGCATCATCTCACCAGGAATGGATTCTTTAAAAAAACATTTTCTTCTGTTGTAAAAAATAAAACGTAAAAATAATACATCTCTCCACACACTCGTTACAGATTTCGTACGCATGTTCCGGGTCGGAGAACCTGTTCGATCTTCGCAACAAGAAGCTAGCCGGACTAGATGACATCTGTGAGTCGATGAAACAACAGCTGCTGGTGCTCGTCGAGTGGGCGAAATACGTGCCCAGCTTCTGCGAGCTAAACCTTGACGATCAGGTAGGCGGCGTATACTACAAACTCTATTATGCAAGAGAATAGTACGTTAATATATACTATAGGCAGCAGGCCTGAATGAGCATGGCACAAAAATTAAAATTTAATTTAACGCGGTGTACGTGAAGTACATAGGTGCCCAGCTTCTGCAAGCTAAACCTAGACGACCAGGTACGTATGCGTAATACATGCACACAGCGTTTTGCAAGAGTAAAGCTAGTATACTATAGACATCAGGCCTGAATGAGCAAGGCCCAAATGCGGTGTTTTTTTTTAACGCGGTGTACGTGAAGTTAATACTTGCCAGCTTTATACTATCAGGGTACGGTACGCCGTACACACGGCGCTAGGGCGTTTTGCAAGAGTAGGGTGCATTAATGTACACTATAGGCAGGGGCTGTGGTCTGATTGAGCATATGGAACAAAAATTAATTGAAGGCGGTGTACGTGAAATATGTCCACAGCTCCTGCTAGTTGAACCTAGAAGGTACAGGTACGCGTGCACATGGCGTTTTGCAAGGGTAGCGAGAGAGAAGAGAGAGAGAGAAGAGAGAGAGAAGAGAAGAGAGAGAGAGAGGAGAGAGAGAGAGAGAAAGAGTAGAGAGAGACAGACAGCCAGAGAGAGAGAGAGGGAGAGAGATAGAGAGAAGAAGACACAGCGAGAGAGAAGAAGAAGGAGAGACGAGAGAGAGAGAAGAGAGAGAGAGAGAGAGAGAAGAGAGAGAGAAGAGAGAGAAGAAGAGACGAGAGAGAGAGAGAGAGAGAGAGAGAGAGGAGAGAGAGAGGAGAGAGAGAGAGGCGATGAGATGAGAGAGAGAGAGCAGAGAGAGAGGAGAGAGAGAGAGAAGAGAGAGAGAGAGAGAGACGAGAGAGACGAGAGGAGAGAGAGAGAGAGAGAGAGAGAGAGAGAGAGAGAAGAGAGAGAGAGAGAGAGGAGAGAGAATAATAATTCAGCAATTCTGCCAACCAGCGTCCGTCTGCGTTTTCGCATCCATGTTTTTACAGCCGCGTGTGAACGTACACTCCGTATACAGACGACACGGACCGGGATGCAGGGAAATGCTAAGCAGATGCGGAGGATACAGCGGCTGCCGGCAGCTTCTAGAAGAGAATAGCTGTAATCCATAGTTAGCGTACAGCAACAGTGCGTTAATACGATATTATAGGCAAGCAGGCATGAATGAACAATGGCACAACAATTAATTAAAAATACTCGGAGAAGATATTTACCGTGATTCGGTGGGGCACGACACAACACACGCTTATTCGTGCTTAATGACGCACAGATTCAAGTCAGGCCTAGCACTCTAAACTATTGCTGAGGTGGATATGCCATCTCCAGCAAGTATTCGACTCCCTTTCACATTTCGATTCCGCGCGTCTTAAAATCGCTCGCACATAACGGCGATGTGCTGGCAAAGTCGACAATTTGACTAAATACACACGCGACGGTTAATATTAGTCAAACTTCACCTATATTTCGGCAACAACATCAAATGGCGAAATAACGTTAACTGTCGCTCGGACTAATATCCATTGCGTTCCAGATACCAACGGGTTTTTACGTATAGGTGGGCAGCTGCTCGAGAGCTTCACGCAGGAGAACACCTTCTGCCTGGGCGCGCCCAGAAGTCGATGCTTTCAAGGACATGCTGTTTTGCTCAGGCAAGTGCGACTACATCATCCGCGGCAACGGCACCGACACCTCTTCGCGACATCAGCGCAGGTGGCGCTGCGTGTGCGTAGACGAGCTAGTGCAGCCCCTGCGAGAGATTTCAGCTGGATTGATAAGGGAGTTTGCTGTCTCAAAAAGCCATCGTTTGCTTCCGATCCAGGTTGAGGCGCTGTCGTCGGCTGGTAATATCAACGGCGCGGGTCTCGCGCGTTTGACAGATGTACAAATGGATGTACACTGTATGTATATGTATGTGAGTACACACGTAATGAATGCAAGTACGACGCATGTATGAAATGTATGTACACACGTAACAAATCAAAATGTAAAGGAGATGAGTGCGAAGAGGAGGCCTTGACCGGCAAGTTATCAGGCTTATTACTTGTGACAAATTGGATATAGGAAGTTTGCGAGTGATGACGAGGCCGTCGCGTGCGAGTTTTATAGCAGATCAACTGGCACTAGCCCCCTACGTGCGGTCGAAACAGAGCATTAAATGGAAGCTATCGAGCTATAAAGTCAGCGCTGAAATATTAATTGTAAGGGAAAATTAATTGTAAAAGAAGATATAAATGTAAGATGCCTGAACCGGCTCTACGGAACGCCGATCCACTGCATTGCCTTCACGTGGGTTTGACAAGATCATACATTGATGTCATTGAGGCTATAAAATGCATGCGATGCGCAGCGATGGCAATTTACTGCTAGGGGAGAGTTGAGCACTACTGTGCAAATGTACGCGAATGTGTTCTATCATACATGTTCTGCTAGGCATCTATGGACAAATACGCTCCCTATGACACTATTTGTCATAGGAAAATCTTGCCCATTGACAAACATTGGCGAAGTCAACTTCGCTTCCGATTTACAGCTGAAATTTATTCTCTCTCTCTTTCTTTTTCTCTCATTTATCTCTCCTGCTCTCTTCCCTACTCTCTCTCACTCCCTCTCGCATTCTTTCTCTCTCGCTGCTTCCTCTCTCTGCTCCTCTCCCTCATCGTCTCTCTCTGGCTCTCTCCTGCTCTCTCTCTCTCTC